ACCCAAAGAGGGGTTGCAGCTCGCATCATGCGGAGGTCATACACCATGAGGAAACGTTCATTCAGCCCTCGGCTGGAGAACCCACTCACAGCCAAAAGGTTTCCGTGAACATCAAAGTCTGACAGGCCGCCAGGAAATGCGTCAAACTTTTGTGTCCTAAATGTGCGCAAGTCTCGAAGGGTCACCTGTTATCAGCAGAGGGTCAGTGTTAGAGAGATATAAACCAAACCTCATCAAACTGATGCAATCAGGTGATACTTACTTTGCCAGAAGGGTGCCCAAAGCAGAAGAAACGATTGGTCTGACGCATTATTGTCACTCCAGGTGCCTCCACTGTGAACTGGAAGGACAATCGAGACAGCAGACAGTCAGACACTTGCTGTGAAGTCAGTTGTATGATATGCCAGTGGTGTAAGCATAGATAGTTGTGGATTTTGATAAACATAAGCCTGGTGTCTTACTTTTTGAGTTTCTTGAAGTGTATTCATGTCAACTTCAACCACATAGTTTTGTAATCCCCCCATGAGCAGCATGTTATCAGTCATGAGGAGACTGTGCATATCAGCTCCTTCTTCCATCCTGCAAAGCACCAAAAATGGCCATTAATTCAATAACATAAGGAATAATTTCAAAGCTTCAAGTCATCAACAGTCAATGTAACACTTACTGATAATCAAACATGTGAAGGCCTCCACGAGTGTAACCTCTGAGGTTGCATTCAGAAAGGAACAGCATGCCTGTGTCCAAACTCTGCATGTGTCTGATGGCATCAGTTGCGTGCACTTGGAAAGAAGAGTAGCGTGCCATCGTAGATCCAAGGAAGGATTTTACATGACCCTAAGAGAAGAGCACAAATATTATTACAGAGTGTTTGAGGTGAATGTAGAAGAAACAAACTCTGCTGAAGCATCATTTTGGCTCTTACCGTGTAGTTTCCCATCCAGAGCATTTCCTGCTGAAGGTCAAAATGTGTTGCAGTGACGGGGATGCCAGCTTCTGAAACTTTACTGTGCAGCTCAGAAAAAATCCCCTTCCTTACGTGCACAGGCTTAGGAACGGTCACAGCCAGCTCCTGTGTGTACATTCCCACGTCTTGGTGGAGGTTTGGATTTAGATATGAGTTCATGGAGGGTTCCAGTCCCCCAGCAGTCCACTGAGGAGACCAGTGAGGAGTGCAGTGAGGAGAGTTCATAGTACTGTGATGGTTGGCCCAGTATTCACCTAGTCTTGTGTTGAGAACTTCAAAAATCTTCTTCAGCTAAATCAGCCTGCAGAGGAACTGGAACTTCTGTAAATAGTAGTACTTGCAGGTTTAATCCTGATCTCTTGAAATGAAGAAAACTGGAGTCCAGATCTAAAGTCTGATGGAGAGAGCCGGGTATTTAACCTCCACTGGGATTCAAGGCGGTGCTAGGAGTCGTTGACTGTCCCTGTATTCAACGTTAGGCTCACAGGTTTCAGGGTCTGAATCAAGGTGGGTGTGGCTGAGCTTACATGAATACAGGTGTGAATTCTTTGGGAGACGTGGGCATCGTGTCATCATTAAGCCCACATTAAGGTGTCAGAGGGGGGGTTGACCCAGTTTTTGCCTGAGCATGTTGTTTCTGAATTGCACCCAGATAATGAGTTTGATCAGACTGGGAGGACCTTGTTTAGCACACTTAATCCACACCTTGATTAACAGCCGTCGTCAACAGGTCGTCAAAAGCACCAAATTCCTTGGTGTCCGAGATGCAAA